TCATTTTATGTCTGTCATTAATTTTCATGGTAATCCTGAAGGTGTTTGGAAATATTATTTAAGGGGCAAAAAGAAAAAAAATGAAACTACTTAGAAGGTGTGTGGTTAAAACTAAAGCATTTCAGAACAATAACTTTATACAGAGAGTCAGCCCCTGCGATATTAGTGGGGAGATCTGGGCCTTCTTAGCCTCCACCTTAAGCTCTAATGTATTTGAGTAATGAAGCAGGGAAATGATCCAAAGAATCCCCACAAGTCCACCTCTTCATGGCTCTAACACAAAATAAAGGTTTTGAAATGGTCTAGTCTGTCTGACCTTTAACACGATAATCCCTTTTTGGCCCATAATAAATGACACCATCATTTAAAATCTACTCTTGATTTACGATTTTTTCTAATAATAATGAACTCAGTTTGATGATCTGGAATATTTAAATTATGACGAGAACAGCTTTGTACATGTTTAACACTATTAGATTACACACAGTTAAATCTAAAATAAATGGCGGCCTGGTAATGACCACCATTTTTATTTCAAACTTGCATATAAGGAAATAAATGTTTGTTATTTCATTGGTTTTATCAGGACATTTGTCATTGGTTGGACTGAATAAAGCCCCAGAACAGCCTGGCTATTTACGTAGATATATACTGACAGGAGTGACGTAATGCAGGGTTTCTATTCCCTGGTTGTTGAAGAGATGCTATGGGCTGATTTGAACTTGTGTGCTTGTTACATAACAGAATCAGTTCATGTAACAGACCCATAAAAGGCAAAGGGTTTAAGCCGCCTCACTGGCCTGGGTGAAGGCTCTGTGCTCTCAACACAACACGACACAGCTGTTTCTAGCAGGGGACAGAAAACCAATGAGAAAAAAAATGCTAAGGATTTCTAGGCTTCATTCAAAAGACAATATAAAGAAAAATAAAGATCTGAAGTTGTGCACCAGAGGGTGGATTTTTGTCTGACTTCAAACAGCAACTATGAAGCTTGTATATAAGTTTGCATATCCTTTGAAATTAATTATTGTGGATAGAATGAGGGCAGATGTGAGGGAAGAGCAGCTTATGTTGATGTTTGTGTGCATGGCTGGGTGGAGCAGGCAGCTCCATCCGAGCACCAACCTGGCTGGGGGTCCCTGAACTGTCACTCGGGCTGAGCACATCCCCCTGAGAGGCAGACAGGGCCGACTGTTCAGAGGCGGAGCGCGGAGCGGAGGGCGGCGACGCCGCACGCGAGTGGGGGAGCGAGTGCAGACTGTCTGTGTCTTCTCCCCCATCTTCTTCCTCATCGCCACACGTTTCGTCATCCTCGTCTTCCTCCTCATCATCCTCGTCCTCCTCCATCACAGGTCTAGGAGTGTCTCGTGTCCCCCGTGTCCCCTGGTGGCAGAGCACCAGGTCCACCAGGTCCTCTTTCTCCCTACACGTATCGGTGGGGATGTTGCGCAGCAGCAGGTACTGCCGCAGGTCTTTAACTCGCAGCTGCATGAGGCGAGGCCGCTGGAAGGCCGTGCCGCGCAGCAGGTGGCAGGTTGTGCAGCAGCGAAGGTTTTCCTGCAGCACAGAGCAAAGGGCGCAGAAACTCTTCTTGCAGTCACAACAGATGTGCTGAAGGGAGAAATGAAAGAAACAAACATCAGATCAGCTATTCTGCTTCATGTAGATGGAAAAAAAGTATTTTTACACACAAAGCTATTTGTTTAACTAAAGTCTGGCAGACGAATGGAGCAACTGAAATGTTTGTGCTCATGTAAGCTTTGATAAATAAAACAGGTGCTCAGGTATTTACACTGCGTCATGTTGCAACAACAAACTTCCGAGGATTTTATTGCCTGACCAAAGCAAAGTAGAAAATAGATGTGTGGGAACAGGAACTATTGTTCCAGGATTTGTTTCAGCCGTGGCACTGGAATTTAAACCCCCAATGAATCAATACTTTACAAAAATGATTCTTGGCTTTAATTTAAGCTTCAAGTTTTTTTGGGACTTTGCCTTCTACCAGTTTTGCATTTTTACCTGTTCTTCTTGAAACACAATTCAATGTCAGACATGTTGAATTGAAAGCTTTTGCGAACAAAATTGTCAAGTCTGACACAGACAAATTTATGTTTAGATCTGGACTTTGACCTGGTCATTCTAAAACATTTATATGCTTTGGTCGAATCTAAGCTTTGGCTGTGGCTTCAAGTCCTCAGCAGAAAATCATAATTCTGTCACCACTTTTCACATTTAGGATGTTATGATCATGGAATGTTCAAGAGGATATTCTTCTCCCTTTGCCTGTCAGTTTGGACGGCCACGTCCTTGTAGGTTTGCAGTTGTGTCATATCTTTTCTATAATAATATGATAGATTGAACGGCTCTCCATGTAACGTTCAAACCTTGTGACATTTTATAATCTATCCCTTCTTTAAGCTTCCTCACAGTTTCACCCATGACCTTTCTTGTGCATGCTTTGTTCTTAGAAATGCTGTATGTTCACTAATCATTTAAGGAACCTTTGCAGAACAACTGGAATTATGCTAAAGTTAATTTACCCAGAGAAGGACTCAGTTAATTAATTACTTGACTTCTAAATGCAAGTCGTTAGATTGAAATCAAAATTTTCCAAAGTCAAGGGGGCTGACTATGCATGTCACAGTTCAAAATCATCCGAATCTTCATTTTATCATCCGATAAAATCAACTGCAGTTTGTGCTGCTTGATAAATATGCAAAATGTTCCAGACGATTGAACAGACATTATATTATATAGATTTAGGCTGAACAGACCTAAGCTTTAAGCAGAAATGTTTAGTCAAAGCTGATGGTTTTTGGTCCAAAGACAAACCATATACCAGCAGCACAAAGTCTAACTTTAATCCAGCCGTTTCTTGGTGGGAACCAAAAGAAGAGAGGAAAACTGTTTGTAGCTCCCAGCCATGTTTGACATTTATCATTGATACAGAGCGATGGAGTAGATTGACACTTCAAATGGGCAGAAAAGCAGGTCAGCCATGGCGGTAAACATTTTCTTATCGCCCAAGCACAACTGAGCTGCAGATCCACCGGGAGCACATTTCCAGCGTAACAGATGCCTTTCTTCAATCGGCTGCGGCTAATCCCCCGGTGGGACTTTTTCCACGCCGTGAAAATATCACGCTGACACTCAAACGTTGAGACGACACGCAGTTGGAGAAAAGGCAACTTGCTCCATGTGGAGGATGAAAGCGTGATCTAAGGCAGTGAGCAGAGAGGAATCTGGGAATGGCTGAGGTTCTTTTAAATGTGTCTGACTGCCAGACAAATCTATTCAGCGAAAGAAACTCTGAGTTGGACAGGAGGCAGGGAAATGTCAAGATTACTTGAGAAGTAGGTAGGCTATGTCATACCCCACATTTATATATAAATGATCAGATTAAGGGATAAATATCAGACTGTCATTCAGGGCTGACTCACATGTTTTTCATGAACACCAGCTGGGAAAATTTGGGAGCTTTCTCACAAAAGAAACCATGAGGGCAAAGAAATTCAGTTGATACTGTGCAGAAAAATAGTTAAATCCTACAGAAGCAAGATTTGGACAACTAAATTAATTCATTTAAAATGTTACATTTTTGCTTTGTGCTACTTTTAAATTAAGAAGGATGGGTCAAAGATAATAGAAGGTTTTTCTGTTATATGTCTATAATCCTAAATTCCCAAAACTCAGTTTTAAATAATAATGCATGGTGATCTGATTTTTCAAATAGTTTTCCATAGATTCTTTGAAATGTACGTGTTCTTTAAACGCATCATAAAAGTAAATTTAAAAAGCAGCATTCCATCTTTACATAACTGCAGGAAAAAGGCTTAATGTTAATCTTGAAAGTCCTTTTCCAGCATGGAAATCAAGGTAAGACAGGTACAAAGAGCTAGAAATCATTCTGCAGATGAAGGATTTAAGCTGGTGGTTCTACTATAGTGGCTTTATGAACCATCCAGCTGTTTACCTTGCGTCTGAAGACAGAGAAGGCCAGTCCGCAGGCCTTGCACAGCTGCCCGGCGCTCCCTGAGCTTGTGGGGGGGTAGGTGGAATACCCTGCGCTAGGGGCGAAGCGGAAGGGCCCCGCCCCTGCTCCGAAACCTGGTTGTTGTGCCCGCACCGTTCCTGTGCCCATCACCTCGTTCAGCAGTCCGCAGCATGACGCCCACATGGACGAAGCCCCTGCCTGATGGGGGGAAACAAACATATTCCACACTGATAAACTGAGAAACACTTATCTCTTCAAGTTGTGTTCATTTTTTCATAACATGCATTTCTAATTTAGTAGAATCATAATCCGTACTTCAAGGTTGAAAAAAAGTTAAAAATGTCTTTACTAACTTTTTTTGGTAAATACAATCATGTTTCACAAATTGCTGTACTCCCTTTTAGAACCCCGGCATGATGTAAGGGCTGAAATAAAAAATGAAGTTCAATGATTTACTGAAGAGCATAGCTTTTCATTTTTTGTTTTGAGATGCTAAAATGCTTAGTTCATTCAGCTTAAATCCTTTTCCTACTACAGGTGTCCCCCTGGGCTCAGTCCTCGTTTCCCTTCTTTTCATCATCTATATCCTCCCCCTTGGCAAGATTTTACAGAAACATAACATCCATTTTCACTGCTATGTTGATGACACCCAGCTCTACCTCTCTGGCAAACCTAACTCCTCCTTTCCTTAGATTAAATGACCTTAAGTCCTGGTTCCAATTTATTTAAAGTCAAAAGCAATAAAACAGAGTTAATTCTCATCTTTACATCTTAAACTCTCTCCAAAACTAACAGTTTCTAACTCTTCAATCACATTTCATTAGTCCCCCCTTCCCCTCAGGTTCAGAGTATGGGTGTCATCCTAGTACTCTATCCTTCCAAGCCCAAATCAATAAAACAATCAGGTCTGCATATTTCCACCTCCGCCCCTCCCTCACTCCCCACTCTACCGCCATCCTGGTGCACACCTTCACTAGAACCCCCTCCTCTAATCACGTCATCCCTGTCCTGCAGCAGCTTCAGACATTTCCCATCATTTTCAGAAGTATGTTTAAAATTGTTCTTTTGGCTTATCAGACCATCCACAATCTCGCCTCTTCATATTTATCTGCACTGGTCTACGCTGCTGTTCCCTCTCGTTCCCTCAAATCTCCTTCCTCTCTCCATCTCACTTCTCTTTAAGTCTCACCTCAAAACTCAGCAGTTCAAAGTTGCCTATAAACACTACATCATTCACTCCATCTATTACACTGCTGTTTTAGAACTTTTTCTTAAACTTTTATATCTGTATTTGTTTTCCTTTTTATCATGTATTTTTAATTGACTATTTGTGTTATATGTTTATATATATATATATATATATATATATATATATATATATATAGTTATTATAAGACAGCAGTGTCCATCACGGTGGCTGTAATGTGTTCAAAGTTGAAACTGCTTGTCTGTTGTTGCTCAGCTGTTTTCTATAAACAATGCAGTGATTAACTGTTGGTTGCGAGCTCTCTTACTGTAATTTCAGTCTCATTAAATCTGTCACACACGAACAGTGCTGTTCACCCTTTCTTACTGAGAGAATAACATGTAATTAAAAATGCATGTCTAATGACTTTTATTGTTACTAGACATGAGGAGTCACCGAGGAGCTAACCCACTGAGTTTACACAATGGGCAGTTAAATACATTTGAGATTAATAAGGTTTAGGTTTATTCAATACATTTTGCATGTAAATGATTTTGAGAATGTGCCCAAACTCCCTGAATGTCTTTTATTTGCGGGTGTTACTACCTTATTTTATTTTGGGAAAGACAAGAAACAGGTGATAAATGTGATTAAAAAACAATTCACGAGAATAAAGAAATGGTTTAATGTAAACAAATTACCATTCAATCTTCATGAAACAAAATTTATGCTATTCAGTAACAGAGATAAAAGCACTGATTTGACACTTAATATAGATGGGGCTGAAATTAATAGAATAGAATTCAACGTTATTGTCATTTGACTGTCACGAGTACAAAGCAACAAAATGTGGTTTGCATCTATCCAGAAGTGCTATACAGGTTATTACAGGTGTATGTAGAAGCAAAAAGTAAAAGTTAGGGACTGTAAAAAGTTGTGTATAAATATAAACATGAATATGGGAGCTACATGCACAGATTATACATAAAAAACAACTAAATAGCAGGTCCTGGAGAGAAGCTCAACCGACGCCATCTTGCGGCAAGGGAACTTAAATTTTTGGGAGTCATGCTTGATGAAAAGTAAAGCTGAAAATCATATATAATTATGTATATTATGTGATATCACACAAAGTAAACACAAAATAATTAACTACATAAAAAACATTATATATCTTATAAAACACTATGATATTTGACCTATTGTTTAGAAGTTTGGGGAATTGCATGTAAAACAAAGAGCTGTAAGAATAATAACCGGAAAACACTAAAGACAGGCAACAAATCCACAATTACTTTATTTACAATTGTTGAAATTTAATTATTAATTTAATTAATTAATTAGTAGACTATAGTATTTTAAAAACAATGTTTAAGGGACATAAAAAATAACAATAAACATTCAAAAACATTTTGAGAAAGAGAAACCTAACCTAACCTCAGTTAGCGCTTAATTGTAAATACTTATGTCAAATTTTATATTTTAGGAAATAAACTTTGAAAGACAGGTATTTCATTTCATCATCTTTTGTTTTTTAAATGTATCTTTTTAAGCTTATTTTGTTGTTGTTGTTAATGCTCATTTAATTTCCTTGTAAATGCAATACTTCAGATAAAGGGCGCAGATAAAGCAAGATTATTCTCCTTTCTGCTCCCCTTCATTCTGGACTTCAAGGGTTTTTTTTTTTATGCAATGAGTGAAATAAAATTCAAAAAAGTCCTAAAAGATTGGCATTAAATGCAATTGTAATGCAATTAAAATGAATAGATTGGTTTAAGTATAACATGGTTATGAGTAAAGATAATTCTATAAAAGGAATCCTGTAGATGGCATTAAATCTTTAACTTAATTTAAAAATTTAATGCTTCTAAGTAGTAGAGCATTGACTATATGAGCAACAACTGCACACTAGGAACTTTAACTTTAATATTGATTTCTACAGCTTAAAAGTAGAATTCATAAAGTTTCCTATAAATGTTGGAGCGAAGCAAATGTAGGTCTTTTTTTTTGGTGGGTTGAAACAACAATGGAATAAAGGTTTCTATGCTTGAAGTATGCTTCTCTGCTTTAACAGTGCAGAGTCACAGAGCAAAGACAGTGTTTGGAGCCACAGCTCCTCATAGAATACCGATGAGATGTTGGGATACATCTGCTTCTGTTCTCCAGCTTCCAGAATCAATAGCTGACACAAGCTTAATGTAAGGCAGCTCTGTGTGGAAAACAATGCAATCCACAGGGTCCGACTACGTCCCATCTTAAAACAGCGCTCTGCTCTGAGTTGTCACAAACACCCAGTGATCTGACCTCAGCCGTCTGCTTAGGGATTCCTTATGTAATCTTTAGGAACAAGGCTCTATTTGTGGAGTCAGGTTGGGAAGCAGGCAGAGCAGCCAGACGGTCAACTCGTCTCGCTGCAGTCATGTCTCTTTAAAGTTCAAATCAATAATATCTAACAGCTTCTGGTAAAGTCTGTCCATTCCCGCCTGCCTGTCGTTCCATTCATGTTTTAATAAACTCTAATCATTTCGGTTTTTCCACTGGGGAATAATAATTTAGTCCTAATTAAGTCCTCTCCAACTATTACTGATGATCCACTGTGATCTGATAATAATTAAAACACATTTTCCAGGAAAAACAAAAGGATTAGAAATTCTTCCATTTTCTTTTACATATGCAGTTAAACAACAAAGCTCAACTCTTCTCTCTATTGAACCTTTGGTATGACCTCAATCAGAGGTTTTATCTGGTTAGAGACATCGTCCCTGGAGTGGAGCCACTAATAAAGGCAGCTTTTACTGCATTCTCTAAAACAGGATGAGATGCCACTGCAGTCCAGCCATAAAACATGAGACTTATCTGGCTGTTTGCCAGCAGCTCGACTTCCCCCACTGTCACTTCCATTAGCAGGCTGAAAGGCTCTGCAGGCGGGGAGTCCCAAACAAACAAGCAGCAAGGGCTTCTTCATATGAGTGTGTACAGTACGCACCTCTAGGAATATGAAAGGTATTGTTGTTATCCCATCATCTATGAAGAAATTATTTCACAATAATTTATGCTTTTTTTATACATGCAAAACACACTCAAAACAAATAAAAATAACCACTGAGACGACAAAGCAGCAAATATTGACAGAGGTTAAAATTATCTGATGATTCTTATTTAATATTATTATATAACATATTTCCATTTCCTTTTTTATATAATTTTAAAGCAAAAGCTATTAAATAAACATGCATATGATGCAAATGTATTAATAACTTATTAATTTAAAACAAATAACTCTCTGGTTCATGTATTCAGAATAAATGAAGTGTACCTACTCAAAATTATTAGTTATCAGTGTATTTATTTAAAATACATAAAGTTTATTTGTTTGAATTGATGATAATGAGGTTACCTTTAAGAAATTCAGCAAATAAAGTTTATGTATTTTAAATAAATACATGTATTAGTATCACTTTCAAGTAAATATACTTTCTTAATACTAAATAAATAAAACTGATGATTAAGTATTTTAAATAGATATGCTTTTTTAAACAAAAATCTATATGGATCATGTAAGAGTTATTTAATAGGTTTGTGTTAAATCATCTAAAAACAAGTGAACAGGAGTTTGTTTTGTAATAAATGTACAGAAATCTTAAAGATAGACTGAAATGTATCTAAGATCAGATGAACAGATAATGCCAATAACTGCCAATATACACTCACAGGCCACTTTATTAGGTACACCTGTCCAACTGCTCGTTAACACTTAATTTCTTAGCAGCCAATCACATGGCGGCAACTCAGTGCATTTAGGCATGTAGACATGGTCAAGACAATCTCCAGCAGTTCAAACTGAGCATCAG